TCGCGCGTTCGTTGTCCTTAAATCCGGATCGTAAACTTCCAATGCGGTATTAATACAAATCTTCTCGCGTCGGCGCGACTCTCTTGTAAGTCCTTACGTCTACAACTAGTTTAGAAATATGTACGTAGTTACGAAGTTGAACGTATAATCTCATCCTATATATAATCAGAGAATTATTAAAAAAGAAAATTCAAGAAAATACTGACTATAAAAATAGTTATATTTACATACTTATTTATTACCGTCTTGTACACAAGAAACAAATAAATCTAAGAAAATTCTTCAAAACACGCCCCGTCCAGTTTATCGTATTAAAAATACGCCTAAGCCGTGCGCAATGAGATAAAAGAATTAAGGATATTAGTACAATTAAACGTAAAAAAGCACATTACACGCTTACACCGCGAGCATTAATTTTGTTACAGTCTCTGGGAAAATCCGGTGTGCTCGTTACGCTCTTGTGGCTGTCGTTGCTAGTAGAGCGCCGGCGTGTGTGCTCTTGTAATTCTACAAAAGTTCGTTAAATTATCGAACGGAAGAAACGCGCGGGGGAGAGGAGAGAACGGGGCGGTGTGGAAATTTATTCGACGACTTATAAAACATACACGACTCGCTCGCGCCGCTCACGGCATTAATGTATCTCTCGTGAAATCGGTGTCCTCGGAATCACGCGACACGCATTCTCAATGCTGTGTCGCGGCTGTTATTTTTTTCTTTTTGTCTTCTTTCTCTCCCCTTCCGACTCCGGAGTCTCGACCGGTTCGAAGACGCGTCCCGCGAGCGATCGGGCCGATCGCCGGCCGACGAGCGATCTTTGACGTGATCGAGCCGAGAAAAAGTTTAATTGCGTCCGTGCTCGAGAAACCTCACCGCCCCGCCTGCGCGACTTTCGATAATTCCCAGGTGGAGGAATTGAGATAATCTCCGATACAGTTTAGTACGCGCCTAGATGAGCAACCGTTATACATGCATACTCTTCTCTCCCTCCCTCCCTCCCTCTCTCTCTCTCTCTCTCTCTCTC